CTTCCATTCTGTCATGTGTATTTCGCTGGTTATCCTCTCCCTACCCTTCTTTCTCTTTTTCAGATACCTCCAGACCTCCCCTTCCCTTGTTATCCCTCTAATCTCTGCCGCCTCCTTCTCCCTCAGTTCTGTTTTCTTTCTACTGCATAACTCTCTGTATCCTCTCCTGGCCTCCCTATATCTATCCACCCCTATTTTACCCGTCTCCACTGCCTCAACCTCCTTCTCGCCTCCCTCTTCGCCTTCTTGCACTCACCATCATACCAATCGTTCCTCCCTACTCTGCCCCCCCTACGTACACACTCCCTTTTCAGTGTTGCCTCTCGCACTACCTGGATAAGTTCTTCCAAACCATTGATCTCTTGTATCTTCTGTTGCCAAGTGTCGAGGTTTCGCCTGTAGAATGCTACCCCTTCTACCGACCAGTCTGTCCTGATGAACTTGCTCCCCAATTCCGCTCGCCTTCTGCCGTCCACCCCCTATACCTCCACCACCAACGGTTGGTGATCCGACTCTACCGCTTCTCCCACTTTAAACCTTTCCACCCTCTCCCACATTTCCTGATCCACCAGTACATAATCAATCACAGACCTCTCCTTCCTCTTTATTCCCATTCAGTATATAATATATAATATTTATATATTTTAATTTAAAAATTTCAGCAACGTTTGACACAGCTGTAGATATTAAACTGCGTCAATGGACCGAACAAGGTCTCCCAGCAAAATCTGTCGAGTCAGGTTGGGAAACGCTTCAATCCGAATTCGATCGCTTCATGCAAAAAGCAGCTCAAGCGACGGATCATGACGATATTTTCGATCAATTAAAAACCGCAGTCGTCACAGAAGCAATGCAACGTCATTCTTGGGAAGATAAAGCATCGGAAATGTTACGCGTTATCCAATTAAACACGCTCGAAGATCGTTCGATTTCCGATAAACGCGATTGGGATTCAGCCGTAAAATTCTTAGAATCAAGCATTAAACATAAAATGAAGCAAAATGAAGGATTACTAAAACAAATGCTTGGACCGTCAATGAAAGAACGTTGGTTGTATTGGAGATATTTATCTGAGTATCAACAAAAATGTTGCTCTGTTAAAACAGAATTGGATAAAATTTTATATTCAGATGAAGTAAATTCTAAAAAAATTCTATAATATTATTTTAAGTTACAATTAAATTTTTTTTAGAAACACCCCCCTTTATTAAGCTTTGATGAATTAACAACTATTAGAAAAAATCTACAACGTAGTAACATTGAAGTTGATAGTGATTTTATCAGAGAGGTTTGGCGCCCAATTTATAGACATCATTTTCTGAAACAATCACTAAGTCGTACTTACGATTGTCGAAAAGCATTTTATATGTACCATCAACAAATGGATGTTGAATGTGGTGATGTGGTTTTGTTCCATCGAATTCAACAAATGATGAAAGTGACTGCGAACGCATTACGACAACAGATTATGAACAGAGAGGCCAGAAGATTGGATAAAGAGATTAAAGATGTTTTAGAGGATTATAGTCAAGATGCTGAAAAGAAACAGAAGTTATTAACTGGTAGAAGAGTTACTTTAGCGGAAGATTTAAGTGAGTATTTTTTCTTGGCTTGTATTGAGTTGAGATAAATTTATTTGTTTTATTTAGAACGAGTGCGACAAATTCAAGAAAAACTGGAAGAATTCATACAAGCATTAAACAAAGAGAAATAACACTAGTCATGTTAGGTTATCAAATTATTTTCAATCCCATGACCCCCGTAATTGTTGAGGTTATTAATTGTAGCTTGTATCAATATTTAGGCTGAACCTATTATTTTTTAGTAATTTTTATTTTATGTTATTCATAAATAAAACAAAATAATTTTTGAATTTCATCGGGTTTAAATAAAAATTAAAGAAAAAGAATTAATTGTAATAAAAATATTGATTTATTTTTTTTTTTAATCATTGCATCATTCTCTTCTAACTTAATTTATTGTGCTAAGATTTAATTAACTAATAACATTCGTTGTAAAAAGTAAATAAAGAAGTTTATTAATTGTATATACAATTTAAAAATTTGGTTCCAGAATTAAAATCTAAATTATGGGGCACTCCAAGCAATCTAATTAATGAAATAAGGCATAAACGGTGTGCTATATACAGGGTGATTCAAAACAGACTTCTAGGGTAGGTAATACATCAGAAATTAAGATAAAAAGTCTTAACATACATGGGCTTGCAAATGCCACCTTAACGAGATATAAGGGTGTTAAAGATTCTTTAAAATTAAATATCTGCAAGAAAAAACCCTTTTTTTTAAATATTTTGAACGCCACTGCTAATTTTGTCAGTATTTTCGTGTAAAGTGATCAATTACCTATCAATTGGTCTCTTACAAAACTTTGATTAAAGCAACAGTTTTTGGATTGGTTTAACAAATTTTCTACAAACGTGTTTTTCTTAAAAACTTGCTTTGATCAAAGTTTTATAAGAGACCAATTGATAGATTAACAATACAATATACAATATAAAATTTGACCAATTAGCAGTGGCCTAGACAATATTTTTAAGAAAGGGCTTTTTATTGCAGATAATGTTTAATTTTAAAGAAACTTTGACCCGCTATATCTCGTTGCGACCCCATGTACACTCAGTTCCAAAAAAAGTGACGCACTTGATTTTTGACCTAATTTTAATATCTTATATTTTTTAAACCAGTGGGCCGATTTTTATTATTTTTTTATTTCTTGGTAGCCAATTCCTTTGTCTTTCAAAAAAAAATTAAAAAGGCTAAAATTTTGTCAATGACTCCTAAATGGTAGTGGAAAAACTGGAACCGTGTTTTTTTCCTAATTTTTGACACCCTGTGTATTAATCAAGTAATGGTATAGAAAGTGCTTACACCCTATATGAAAGACGTTTCTTTTGTGAGCATTTTGTTTCAATGGGAGGCAATACACGGTATTAAGCAGATATCCCAGTTTATAATTTAGTGTTTAATAAAACTTCTTTAAAAATTCGTATCAGTTTATTTCACTAGAAAACTGTTTTTCCATTAATTCAGAAAGTTGGCAATATGCAAGGTTTCAATAAAAAGAGCTTCAATTCGGACAATTTTAGAGATAAATTAATGAATAAAAAAACAAAATGCTCATAAAAGAAACGTCTTTCATATAGGGTGTAAACACTTTCTATACGATTACTTGATTAATACACAGGCTGAGTCAAAAATTAGGAAAAAACCATGGTTCCAGTTTTTCCACTACCATCCAGGAGTCATTGACAAAATTTCCACCTTTTTAATTTTTTTTTGAAAGACAAAGGAATTGGCTACAAAGAAATAAAAAAATAATAAAAATCGACCCACTGGTTTAAAAAATATAAGATATTAAAATTAGGTCAAAAATCAAGTGCGTCACTTTTTTTGGAACTGAGTGTATGTCCAACAGCAGTGAAACAACACCTAAATAAAAAAAAACGTGACGTGTTACAGAAAAATGGAAGGCATATTTGAAGTCAACTCACCAACTGTAGAAATATTTTGCAGCACAGTGTAATTATTTAGAAAATCAAAAAAGTGCTTTTTTTCTTTCTCAAACGATTTAGTAACTGTCGACCGTCGGGATACTAATAACTCATCCTGTATGTAGTAATACTTGTCTTTCCTGTGATTCCATATATTTTATCATTTTTGAGGCTAATCTATCTTGACCAGGAGCTTTTCCATTATTTAATTCTGTTATTACCGATTTCAACTCCTCCATGTTTATCTGCTCATATTTTTCTGTTCTGTCTCTTTCTTGTGTATAGGGGTTGGTAACTTAATTTTTTGACTATTTACGTTTAACAGTACCATGAAGTGTTCCTTTAATCTTTCCATCTCTCTCGTCATCTCTCAGTAATAGTCCGTTTTTGTCCTTTACCGCTTTAGTTTCGTAAGTATTTGTTTTCTTATAAGATTTTAATGTTTTAACAAATAACTTTTGATTTTCCTTTCTATCTTTTTCCATCCTATCTCCAAACTCTATCCAATTTTGCTTTTTTGCCTCAATCACCATTTCTTTCACATTCTTCATTTCCTTCTTATATTCATCATAACTTCCCGCGTTTTTTTTCTTTAGATAATTGTTATATTTTTATTATTTGTTTCAGCAAGTACTTAATCTTTGTGTTTATAAAACGAATTTGTAACTATCACGTTCTGCATCATGCAGAACGTCCGTCGTATCCTCAATTAGTTGTTCCAATTTCTTATCTATTACAAGCAACCCCACCACCTCTTTTGTTGGTTTCCACTTCGCTATAAATGAATTGCATAAAAAACTTAATAATTCTTTAAAAGTATATTTTGTTTGGTTGGACTTTTAGGAAAATGTGTAGCGTCTCAAAGTAATTCGACATTCTTTAGCATCTCAGCATCATCTTTAACATCAAAATGGGTGGGAGATGGAGAAAAAATGGTTAGAGCTTTATTTTATTTGAGCATTTTGTTTTTTTATTCATTAATTTATCTCTAAAATTGTCCGAATTGAAGCTTTTTTGTTGAAACCTTGCATATTGCCAACTTTCTGAATTAATGGAAAAACAGTTTTCTAGTGAAATAAACTGATACAAATTTTTAAAAAAGTTTTATTAAACACTAAATTATAAACTGGGATAACTGCTTAATACCGTGTATTGCCTCCCATTGAAACAAAATGCTCACAAAAGAAACGTCTTTCATATAGGGTGTAAGCACTTTCTATACCATTACTTGATTAATACACAGGGTGTCAAAAATTAGGAAAAAAACACGGTTCCAGTTTTTCCACTACCATCTAGGAGTCATTGACAAAATTTTAGCCTTTTTAATTTTTTTTTGAAAGACAAAGGAATTGGCTACCAAGAAATAAAAAAATAATAAAAATCGGCCCACTGGTTTAAAATATATAAGATATTAAAATTAGGTCAAAAATCAAGTGCGTCACTTTTTTTGGAACTGAGTGTATATTTAGACTATTCATCTTAATTTTTCATGTATTATTATTATTTACTTATTACTCTAGCGGTTTTTTGAATCACTTCTATAGGTGTCTCGAAACTCAACCCATACCTGTTCTAAAATATTGTCACTTAACTAAGAGACAGATTTTTTTTCTTATTTTTACCACATCAGGTATGAGCTGGCCTCTCGCCCGGTACCCGCTTGACGTTGAATTTCGGGAGTTGATCAGGGTAAAGTTTTTATTACAGTGTAAATCGTCACCGAACGCTATTGAACAGGGCCGTATTTCAAATATTTTATCGCAGTAAAAAGGATTAACCCTCCGCATACGAGATGAATTAATATCACATGCCATACTAGGTAAGGTATGACATACCCCGGAAATAAAATACTATTTCTATAAAATTTTACATAGAATACGATCTCGCGCATCTTTTTTGTTTTTCAATTTTTTCAGTTTTTAAAAGCTGGGGTATATGATAAAAGTGACAGATGAAGATAAGCGTAAGAGTAATATAGAGTTAGGTTGGTGATATATTAAAAAAAAGTAGGAAAACGTTCCAGATCATCAAGAAGAGTGATGATAAATTAGGGAGAATTCTAGAAATAATGCAAACACTATCAAAAGACGTAAAACAACTGAGAGAGGAACAGAGAGTATAGAGATGAGATAAAAGAATTAGAAACAGAAAAGGGAGGTCAAAGAGATTGATGGAAAACTAGAAACTATGGGTAGAGTCAAAAAGAAGAACAACGTCGTAGTATAAGGTTTGGAGCTAGGCACAGTAAAACAGAGCGAACTGCTAGAGACAATGAAGGAGATGCGTAAGTAATTAAAAATCGATGTTATAAAACTGGTGCAGTAAAGGTGTCTCCTCGACTTGGGAAAATCCAAGCGATAAAATGAGTATTCATACAGAGTAGACGTGTGGCATCGCTCTCCCTGATATAATTTACAAATATCTTTAAAATGCACGGTACTAGAGGTAAAACCGGTGCACAGTGGTCTAAATTCGAAAAAACCCGAACAAAAATATTTTAACGCAGTTTGGGTTGAGATAATTTTTTGAACTTGGTATGTGGCTATAGGAGTATATGCTAAAGACTTTGTGAACTTTTGGATCAAATATGTCAACCGGAAGTACTAATTTACTTGAGGCCACATTCTATTTTTTTCATATAATTTAGGTCCTGAGAATTGGATAAATACAAAATTTTATACAACGCTATTAAATCGCGAAGGATAGCTAAATTCAAAATTGTTTAAACTAAATTGGTTATATAGTTTACTTCAATGTAAGGGCTCTATAAATAAATCTTTAACTACAGAGTGTCTCACGTAGCTGGTTCGTTAGAACTTTTTCAAGTTCCACTATTCGTACAATTTTGAAGTTTTGGTAGCATGGGTTGTTCATTCGGAACTTTCAATCTAAAATATTTTCAAGATGGCTGCCACTTCCGGTCTATCGGAAGTAGACCATAACTTCGTTATTTTAAATGGAATGCTATACTTTTTATTACACCATTTAATTGTACGTAAAAAAATAGGTTAACTTTGATAAAAGTTATTGGTACCTAGCATTTTTCGTTTTCGAGTTATTTTGGTTCTAAACTTTTTTTGGTAAATTTCACCATGCTCTTTAAAACCCCATATCTCAGCCAACGTTCATTCAAAAAAGGTCTAAATTGGTACGATTATTCTTCAGATGCTGTCAAATAGATTGTCATTTGTTGTATCGGAGTATCTTATACAGAGTGGTCAAAAAGTGAATTATTGTTTCTCCATTTTCAATGGCGAGAAAGTAGAAAATTGCTTAGCCTATCCGAAAGGGAATTTAATTCTCTATAAATTATCTACGTTGCTTAACAATGTGTGTTTCTTCTTGTTCTGTTTCAGACCATT